ATCACCCCTGTAGCCCAGAGCCTACCAACCTTATTCAAATTGGTCAATTCTAAGCTGTTTTCCCTTCCCCTGCCATGCCTCTCCTGTGGAAAACACTATAAATGCTTTGGCCTTGCTCCTGTCTCCTGATCAAACTCGTGATTCCCCTGCAGCTCTGCATGGCATAGAAGTTTATATTTCTTCTTCTCTGGGGGAAATGTACCTAGTAAATTCATCTTAAATGACATGGACTTCTGTGTCAGTACAGAGTCACCTAAAATCTGAGCACAAATCATTAGTCTGTCAAGTTAAATTACCGCAAATGATCTTGGTTCTATAGAATCCTGGTTTTAGGATTTGTTGAGTGGGTCTATTTCAGTTTTTCCTCTGGTCCTAGGGCAAAACCCCCAGTCATGGTTTCAATGGAAACCAGATGTGTTTACCAAGTGTATTATTAGAGGTTCTCCAGAGAACAGAACCAATAAGCTGTGCATATGTGTATATATAGATTTATTTTATGAAATTGGGTTATGCAATTATGGAGTCTGATAAGTCCAAATCTGTCGGGTAGGCCAGCAGCCTGAAGACTAGGAAAGAGCCATTGTTGCAGTTCACATATAAAAGCTGTATGCCGGCAAATTTCCCTTTTGCTCATGGGAGATCTGTCTTGTGCTATTCAAGCCTTCAACTGATTGGAGAGGCCCACCTATATCATGGAGGACAATCTGATTTACTCAAAGTCCACTGATTTAAACACTAATCTCATCCAAAACACACCCTCACAGAAACATCCAGAATAATGTTTGCCTACATATCCAGACACTAAGGCTCAGAATATCCTGCCCTCTTCCCTGACTAGAAACTCCTCATGTCCAGACTAAGACATCCCTCTCTTCTAGTGGTTATGATTTTTTTCTGGGCTCCAATAGTACTCTGTTCACACCTCTAAAACAACATGTGCTTACCCTGCTTGCCTGCAGTTTCCTCTGTTTAAGAATCACACCTCTTCCCTGGTCTTCCATAGGGGCCACTATCATACTTTGTAATGGGTAACATGTATAGAGCATTTACAAGTTCTGGACACTGTTCAAACTGTACTTCATGCAATAACTCATTGAAAAATCACAGTACCCCTCTGTGGGTACTATCTCCAGTTGATAGACATGGAAACTAACACAAAGTCAAGGGAATTGTCAGAGTCATGTGTAGAGTAAGGGGCAGACAGCTGAATTAGAGTTTGTTCATCTGGGTTAGAGCCTATACTTTTAACCATGCTGAGTGAATGATTCTGTCAATAAAGGAGCACATGGCTTGTTACAGTGAGTGCAACTACTTCTAAAAAAGCTTGGCTTGAAGGTTCAGACAATTAAATAAGTAAAGTATCCATAAGGTCTAGAAGGAAGTGGCAAGTGCCTCAGCAAGTTTTCTCTAGTTCGGTCATCCTTTATTTTCCTTCTTAGACCAGTTGTTTCCTTATAGACACCAGTCTCACTTATTCCCAACACTAATAAACCCATATCAAGGCCTGATGGGGGAGTAGGAGTTGTTAATGTAACCTGACTTCAGAAGGCTGAGGGAGCCAAGAGGAAGGAGCATCATCTACCTGAGCAACAGGTGGGTCTTTCTGGATGATGTGGGCAGAGTTCACACAAACTCCTTCTTTGGAATGAGTCTACTGGTGTTAAGGAGCACAGCCCTACTGCTGGCTGCATATGTCCCCCCCGAACACATTTGGGTAATTTTTATACATGATTTGAAGTCCTTTTTGGTCAGTCAGTAGTTGTGTTTGATTAACGATATGTTGCCAGTATATAAGAACCACCTTCTGATTTAAATTCAGGAAAGGACAAAAAAATTAAAGCTGCCTTGTAAGGCTTCCTAATGGGTCATTATTTTTGCTAAGAAAAATAGTGGGCAACTCGGAGCCACTTCTCTGGAGAACTCAGGCTACTCTACCAAGGGCTCCTACCAGTCCACAGAGTGAGCAAAGGTGGGATTGTCTTATCTGGGGTAGGGAGAAGAGTGGTGTCAAGTCTACACCTGCCTTAACAGGGTCCCAGCACTTTCTTAGTCTCTGTAATCTAACGCACACAGTGGTTATATGTTGCTAATCTCAGCAGCCCCTCAGTAGTTAGAAATGTCTGCTTTGTTTTATTTTAAAAAATGTTTTCCTTTTTACTGAGACTACCGAGTTCAAACTTAGATAAGATTTGTCAGCTATCTCACTAATTTTATTTATATGGGTAAAGACTAGGTTTTATTATGATTAGATTTTATTACAAAGATTTTATTTATAAAAGTAAAGATGAGTAAAGATTTGGTTTATTGTTTGATTATAATCAGTTTTATGTTACTCAAAAGAAATTTATCATCATTAGAAAATTATCAGGCAAATCCTGCACTGAGGGACTGTCTACAAAATCCTGACAAGGGCTCCTTAAAAATGTCGAGGGATCCTGGCACAGAAAAAGAGATATTAGGTAAAAACTAAAGAAATCCAAATATGGTATGGATTTCAGTTGAAAATAATGTCGTGATATTGGCTCATTAATTGTGACATAGAAACCGTACTAATGTGAGATGTTACTTTAGTGTGTGGATTGTGAAAACTCTTTAAACTACACTCACAACTTTCAGGAAATCTAAAACTATATTTAAAAAATATAAAGAAGTTATATATTTCACCTGAAATTTCACTAAGAATGAAAACTTCCTTAATCTTAGGGTGTGAATTTTTTAATGGGATAAAAATTGACCAAAAAAATTGTAAGTAATACATCATATTTGCTGAGTGGCAATTACATGCCAGTGAATCTAAGAGATTTATGTCATTACCTCATTTAATGTTGACAAAGAACCAGGGTAAGGAGAACTGTTAGCCCATCTTACAAATGAGGAAACTGAGGCACAGAAAGGTAAAATAGTTTGTCCAGCTCACAAAGAAGTATGTGGCTGTAGAGCCTACATGCCCTACCATAATTTGGTACTGCTCAGAGTGGACCACAAGTGAAGAAAAAACCTAAGTCAGGTGAAATTCCAGGACTGTGAACACACAGATCTAAAATACACTAAGAAGTGAAGCTGGAATGGTCGCCTTAGTGATGTCCCTGCACTCTACCTGAGAGAAGTGCCATTTATTTGTCATTCAGTGAGTATGTACATTGCAAAATCATATGCTTTGAAGAATGATTAATTTATAGGACACATCTGTGATTATAATAAATGACCCTGGAGGAAAAGGGTCAGTTAGCAAGATGGGCCCACAGCAGAGCCTGGCCTGACCCTTTAAGGTTCCTGTCACAGGCATCAGCCCCTCTGCTGGCAGCCTTGTCTCCACTCAGCTCTGCTTCTATCTGTCTAAGCCACCCCTCTGCACATTCTGTCTCATGGGAGAGGAGCCTTACAAATCCTCCAGGTGATTCTCCCTGCTTTCTCTCATGGGTTCTTGAGCACCTGTAGGAGCAATCTCCAATTTGTGTGTTTTTAACCCTTGTTCACAAGTTTGAACACTTGTAGTAATGTGGGTTCACTCTGTCTCCAAACACAGCCCATCCTTTGGCTCCTTAATAGTTGCCACAACGGATCCAAGACAAGCTGTAGAACTTTCCCAAGACCAGAGCTCCTGGGTCCTCCACTCTCTGGGCAATGACACCAAACTGTAGGAGTGGTGATGTTGAGTTTGCCTTTGCCTCAACCCCAAATCTATCTGTCAACAAGTCCTGCATCTCTACCTCCAAACTGCATCCCCAACCCATCCATCGTCTCCATCTTTGCTGCTGTCACTCCAACCCAAGCCTTTCTCACCTCTTGTTTGAATTGAGGTCAGGACATCAAGTAGGAATCTAGGACTGTAGAGTGATATTGACATGTCATGATTCATTTGAAAATCACAACTCTGATATTTTCATCTCTATCTGCTTAACTTATTTGCCTACCTCGCAACCATTTGTAAAGTTGGATGATGAAAAGGGATGTTGTTTACTTACTTATTCTAACCCCATATATTTCTAGAATAGAATATATCATAGAACATATGAGAATTCTATGATATATAGACTCTTAACACATATAGAAGAGTATACACATATTAATTTTAATTTATATGTTATTGGTAGATATAGAAATTAATATATACTTAATTTGTTGATCTTGCCAGATAACCCTTTCCCAGCTCACCTTCTTCTCCTTCAGGTACTAAATCCTGGAATCAATAAACCTGCAGCACTGCTCCAGATTCTGGCTGGCTACTGCCATCTGCAGCCTGCTTCACCTATGTAGCAATGGTTCTTCCTCTGGTGTTTGAGTGTCATCTGCTCCTTTGCTTTGGACAAGGGGCCCTACCCACCAAGACAGATTCTCTGGGACCTGCATGTGTTCTAGAGTTCCCAGCCCCGCCCCCCGAGTTATTCCAGCCCCTGCCCTCTGCCATGCTTCCAAACCAAAGCTTGAAGTAGTTGAAATGACCTTCACTGAAGACATTGCACCCACAGACACAATCATATCTTATGGCCGCTTCCAAACATGTCCAAGGAGATCTGCTCACCAGAACCTCCATCCACAGGATCTGGTCTCATAGAGAAGGGCTGTCAAAGGGGGCATGAGAAAGCTCCCAGAAAGACTACCACAAGAGAAAGCCACTGAGCCTGAATTTGTATATAAGCCAAGGAGACCTATTGCAAAGGGTCCCCAGCCCCTTTTGGCTCTTAGGCATATCAGCCCTTATAACTTGAGGAGACAGCACTTGTCTTCAGTGTAATTCTCTGTGTTCTTCAAACAGGAGAACTTGTGTGGTGATCAAACAAAAGCATAGCCCAGAAATGGTGCTTGGAAAATATGTCATGATGTAGTGTGGGGGAGAGGACCCTATGGTTCTGTTGTGTCTATAGAAAATAAAATGATTACTGAAAATCCAGAAGCATTACCTTCAGTTCACAAGAGTCTCTGCCACTCACAAACTAGATGTCTTAATTAAAATGCTGCTAACAGAAGCAAATCAATTAACAGATAGCTTACACGATGGTTTATTTTATCTTACACACAGAAAATTACTTATGAGTATTGCATTACTGCTTTAGGTTATCAGTTAACAAAGGCTGCTAATGAACTACATTGTTATCAAGTCAGATGAAAGATGCCCTGGGAATCCAGGCAAATTATTGTAACACAGCACTTTGTTTTGAAATATAGCTCATCTTTGATCACACATGAGGAGAGTAATCAAATCCAAGGAGAACTACTCCATATAACCACCTGGATTTCTGTTGAACAGAGAGGCAAACAGTACTTTTAATGCAGCCCCAGAAACACAAGGTTGATATTACAGGGCAGAGAAATGTTAACAGGGGTGTGTCACAGAGTCTTATGTTTATGAGAATAACAAAAATATGTGGATTTCTTAAGCCTCCCCATGACAAGGTAGGTACATTGTAATAATAACCAAAAAATAATTCTATAAGTATAACAATATCTATTTATATTTGTATAGCTTTCTACAAGGCACAGCATCTGCTTTCCCATTTAGTCTTTTGTTGGTCCCATCATTTTAGGAGCTGCAGAGCTCCAGTCTCAGTCCATGGCCACCTCCTTCTCTCACTTTAATCCAGCATGCCATTTCTTCTATGGAAGATCAGTGTTTCATATATAGGAATAGAGACTGCCCCATGGTCTTCATGTATCAAGACACCTGAATGTTCATGGGCGGATTCTTCTGGCAGCTAAGAAGGTAAAGCCATGAGTTCTGGAAAATGCTGCTTACCTGTTGTAAGATGGTGATGCTAAAGAGGCAGTGTCCTGAGTTGGGTTCTCATTCCATAAGCATTGCTGTGGTAGAAGCAATGCCATCACAGAAGCATGACAGCTCTGACATGGGGACCAGGATAGGCAGTATGAATTCAGTGGCTTCCATCCTTTCTAACTACTGGATAAAGTGCTCATGCCTCCCTCTATGTAGCAAGCTTCTTGCAGAAGACAAGTGATATTTTCCTTCAGGACAGAGGCACCATAGATTCCGTTCAAATAACATATTTGCCCTGGATATTAAATGCCATGTGAAGATCCATCACCAGTTTTGGACATTCAAATTCAAGACATCTCCAAAACTGCAGTGGGTAGTTGTCTAGACTGCAAACCTCTCCTGAGTGGCTGCTCACTTAGAGTTCAACCGCTTGCGCATCTCTGGAAAGGAAGAGAACCATCTAGGAGACTTATTGACAGAGTGACTATGCTCTAATCATGGCACACAATTAAGCAGGTGTGAAAAAGTTTACCAGCAAATGTTAGCAAAGTGGGACATTTCCTCATGCAACATAGAAAAGGACCTGAAGACCAGTGGCTTCTAAGTAAAGAGGAGTTTTTTAGGTAGAGCTCAAGCTGAAGGTTGTTATCTGCCTGACAAAGAAACACAACAACACCTCATGCACTAGATAACAAAAAAAGAAGAAGTCATTCCCCAAGATTAACAGGCACACCTAAGAGAAAGGTGCCACTTCATATACTTGAAGAGTTTTCACAGACCTGGGCAGATGCTAAGGGGAACTAAGTAGACAGACCTACGGGAATGTAACTGGAAACTGATACCTTCAAGTTTGAACTACACACTGTTACAGACAGTGAGACTTTGCTGTACTTAGTTTGCCAGCTTTAACAGGAAGGATGGAAGCATAGGTATGTATTAAAAACCAGGAACAGAGAAGAAAGATGAGGTTAACAAACCAGATCTCCATACAGAAGAGCCTGGGCTGAAAGTAGGGCAGAAACCCTGCTGTGGGCCCTCTTGGCTAAAGGCTTCACCAACACATGCGAGTTGAGACTGAAATCACACCAACACTTTACTGCGGTTTCACATAAACATTATGTATAGTTATAACAGAATGACATATGTATGCCTACATTGCATACCTGTTTATGCCATTTCATTGTGTGTATTCAGTCTTAACATCTTGATGTTTAATAACATCTCTCCATGGGAGAAGATGCAGCACTAGCAGAAATAGGGCAGAGTGAAGCATCAATGGACAAGCCAAGCCAATGGCCATAAAAGGGACAGCACATATTTTTCTACCCATGTGTGGAAGACCAAGGGCACAGGTCCAGGTTGGGGTTACAGAGCTTAATGGCAGCAGAGCCAACATGGAAAATAAGCAAGTTGGAAATACACAAGAACAGTAAGAAAGAGAAGTGAAGAAAGGGATTCCAAGAGAGGGCCTAAGTGCTGTCAGGTGTTTGTGCTTTTTTTTTGAAAGTGTGATGGGGCCAGAAGTTCAAATTTAAGCTGGTCTAGAGCACAGGTGGCAAACATAAGGCCTGCAGGCAGAAACCAGCCCTCCACCTTGTTTTATCAAGCCTGGCACCTTGTTTCTATCCAGCAGCAGTGACAAACATCTTGTCCCTAGTCAAGGAGTACTTACATTTATACAGTCCTAAAATTACATTTGGCCCTTTGAAGGCAACCACGAGGCTGATGTGGCCCCAGTGAAAATGAGTTTGATACTCCTGGAGAGGTCCAGGCTCAATAGAAAGTTTACTCTTCCTATTGCCTTTAACAAATCCTGAGTTCAAAGAGCCCCTTCAAAGGTGAATTAGGCTGCAGACCTAAACAGGGTATCAAGAGAAAGGGTCTTAGGCTTCCAGCCAAGATGGAGGAGTAGGTAGACACACTGTGCCTCCTCGCACAACCAAAAAGGACAACAACAATTTAGAAACAAAGTAACAACCAGAACTGATAGAAAATTGAACTGTTTGGAAGTCAGACAACCAAGGAGTTAAAATAGACACATTCATCCAGACTGGTAGGAAGGGTGGAATCTGGCAGTCGGGTGGAGAGCCGTCAAGGCACAAAAACTGGTAGCACCAGACGCGAGGGTTGGCAATGGGCAGACCCAGCAAGGCGGCAATTGTGAAGTGAGGCACTGTGCACAAAGCAGCTGGCTGACCAGGTGATCCCACATTCATGTGCAGATAAACCAGGCAAAATTGGGGAGCAAGAAAGACCGTGAACCCCAGGGTCCCAGTGCTGCGAAATAGAGCCTCGGGGCACTGATGGAAAACACCTGTGGGAGTTGAGGCACAGGGAGAGACTCCCAGCCTCACAGGAGAGTTCATTGGAGAGACCCACAGGGTCCTAGAATGTGCACAAGCCCACCCACATGGGAATTAGCACCAGAAAGGCCCAGTTTGCTTGGGGGAAGCAGCAGAAGGGACTGAAATCTGACAGAGAACAGAGCAAGTGCCATTGTTCCCTCTTAGACCCCACCCCCACATACAGCGTCACAATCCAGTGACTGGGTTGCCCCGCCCTGGTGGACACCTAAGGCTCTGTCCATCATACATAACAGGTGAAACAAGACAAAAAAATTGGCTCAAATGGAAGAACAGATCAAAGCTCCACAGCAAATACAACTAAGCAACCAAGAGATAACCAACCTATCAGATGCACAGTTCAAAGCACTGGTGATCAGGATGCTCACAGAATTGGTTGAATTTGGTCACAAAATAGATGAAAAAAATGAAGGCTATATTAAGTGAAATGAAGGAAAATGCATAGGGAACCAACAGTGATGGAAATAAAACTGGAACTCAAATCAATGGAGTGGACCAGAAGGAAGAAAGAAACAATCAAACAGAAAAGAATGAAGAAACAAGAATTCAAAAAAAATGAGGAGAGGCTTAGGAACCTCCAGGACATCTTTAAACATTCCAACATCCGAATTATAGGGGTACCAGAAAGGGAAGAGTAAGAGCAACAAGAGGGAAAGTTATTTGAACAAATAATAAAGGAGAACATCCCCAATTTGGCAAAGGAAATAGACTTCCAGGAAGTCCAGGAGGCTTAGAGAATCCCAAAGAAGTTGGACCCAAGGAGGAACACACCAAGGCACATCATAATTACATTACCCAAGAGTAAAATGAAGGAGAGAATCCTAGAATCAGCAAGAGATAAAGAGACAGTAACCTACAAAGGAGTGCCCATTAGACTGTCAGCTGATTTCTCAAAAGAGACCTTGCAGGCAAGAAGGGGCTGGAAAGAAGTATTCCAAGTCATGAAAGGCAAGGACCTACATCCCAGATATCTCTATCTAACAAAGCTTTCATTTAGAATGGAAGGGCAGATAAAGTGCTTCTCAGATAAGGTCAAGTTAAAGGAGTTCATCATCACTAAGCCCTTATTTTATGAAATGTTAAAGAGACTTATCTAAGAAAAAGAAGATGAAGAACATGTATAGTAAAATTACAGCAAACACACAATTATTAACAACCACACCTAAAACAAAAATGAAAACAAACTAAGCAAACAACTAGAACAGGAACAGAACCACAGAAATGGAGATCACATGGAGGGTTAGAACAGGGGAGTGGGAGGGGGAGAGAGGAGGAAAAGGTACAGAGAATAAGTAGCATAGATGATAGGTAGAAACTAGACAGGGGGAGGGCAAGAATAGTAATAGTATCGGAAATGTAGAAGCTAAAGAACTTATGACACAGGGGCATGAACTAAAGGGGGCGAATGTGGATGGGAGAGGGTGTGCAGGGTGGAGGGGAATGAAAGGGGGAGTTGGGACAACTGTAATAGCATAATCAATGAAATATATTTTAAAAATTTAAATGGTAAAAAAAAGAAAGAAAGGGTCTTTTAGAGACCATAAGATTATGGTAGCTACCTAAACCCAAATCTACCACATCCTACAAAAAATTATATAGACCAACAAGGAAAGAAAGAAAAACAAAACAAAACAGAACTAATAATAAAGATGCCTACCTATACTTCTTGGTTTGCTTAGGAGAGTCCCAGAGTATGTCTGCTGAGGATAAGTTCATGCATTCTAATGTTGAAAAGTCTTTTGACCAACTCCAGCACATGTTTCTGATTTTTAAAATTCAATAAAATAAGAATTGATGGATAATTTCTCAATGTGATAAAATGCACATACTTCAGTCCTAAAGCCATCTTCTTACCTAATGCAAAGCACTAGTGTATTTCCCACCAAGATCAGGTGCAAAACAAGTCTACACACTGTTTCCACTATTGTTTAGCATTGGTGGTCTTAGCTGATACAATCAGGGAAAAACAAATACCTGCATAAAAATTGGAAAGAAGATCCACAGTTTGGCAGATGACATGATACCATAAAATTTAGAACATTATAAAGGTGGCAAATAAAAGATCAGGAAGAAAACTAACACTAACAATAAGAGCATTTAATAAGGCAGATGCTATAATGTTAACATACAAAAAAAATCCATAAGCAATCAATGACCAAGTAGGAGACAAACTAGGAAACTCCATTTATAAGGCAACAAAAATCATAAAATATTTAGAAATAAACTTAACAAGAAATGTGAAAAACCCATGAGCGTAAAATCTGAAAATTCCCGAGACACACAAAAACAGACTTGTAAAAAATAAATCTCTTTTCTGTGAATGACTACTTAATATTGTGAAGAAGTCAATTGTCTTCCACTGAGTAGATGGATACAAAGCAATTCCCCCAAATACCAACATGTCTGTATTCCTAGATAGATTCTGAAATTAATTCTAAAGCTCATCTGGAAAAACAAATATGTAAGAACAGCTAGGACAGAAGAGCCAGAGTGTACCCCTAAAGAGGAAACACAGTGCTTGAGAATAGCCCAGGCAGACAGTTGAGTGTGCCACAAAGCTTCCACAGAGCACCTACTAACACCTGAATAATCTCAGGTACCACTGGAAAGCAATTTAAGTCTAGAAACTGTCCAAGGACATATGGAAATTTAGAACATGATAAGGGTGGCAAATAAAACACTAGGGAAAAGAGAGAGCATTAAAGATGATATCGAAATAACTGGATCACCATTTGGAAAAAAGATACAATTAAATCTCCACCTTATACCACACTCTACCATAAATTACAAATGGTCAAATTAAAAAAAAAAAAAACAGAAGAGCTAGGAAAATTTTATATTTATGTACATATATACATATAAAAACATTTCTTTAATTTTATAAAATATATATATGTAAAATCTTTAATTAAATATATGTGTAAAATGAACACAGAAAAGATAAAGCAGAAACTGTTGAAATGAGTTAGCTCAAACCATGGTGAAGTAAAGAAGACTTCTATGAATTTATATATTTACATATTTTATCTTTGAACTATATACATGTTTGACATAATCAAAAAGTAAAATTAAACTAA